ATTCACCACATCCAACTCGCTGCGGCCAAATCACCATGGCCAGCTCACCACATCCTACTCGCTGTGGCCAACTCACCACATCCAACTCACTGTGGCCAAATCACCATGCCCAACTCTCCACATCCTACTCACTGCGGCCAACTCACCACATCCTACTCGCTGTGGCCAACTCACCATGGCCAACTCACCACATCCTACTCGCTGTGGCCAACTCACCACATCCTACTCACTGCGGCCAACTCACCATGGCCAACTTGCTGCGGCCAACTCACCATGGGGCAACTCGCTGCAGGACAAGAGTGACACCACTACGGTATCTAAGGAATAGTGGAATAGAGTAATGAAAGAAAGGATGCAAAAGGAGAGACAGAACAAAATGTGAATGAAAAAATCGAAATATTTGTTTATTTTAAATAATTAAATAGGAGTGTTAAATTGTCCCATGGCGAGTTTGCCGTGGCAAGTTGCCCTGCAGCCAGCTGGCTTGGCTGTGGTCAGTTGTCCCACCCACCACCTAGCAGAATTTGACCCCTTAGCTGGGCTTGGCTCTGGTTTGTTTTGGATCTGGCTAAAGACGCAATTCAACCGACGGTTGGACCCCTGGATCTCGCCGAGAGCTGGGAACGAGCGGCAGCGCCCAGGAGCCTTCCCCATTCACTCCAGCTATAAAAAGCAAGCCAGAAGGAGGAATGCTGCCCCGGGCTAAGTCGGGGCCGCGCTCGCCTTGCCCCCGCTACCCACCCACCCGCCCGGCCGAGCCAGCCCGCCAGCCAATGGGCGCCGCGCAAGGGGCGTGCGCAAAGCTGCTCTCAAAAGCGGCCACCCCGCCAGATCTTCTTTGGCTTTAGCCGTAGGTGCGAGCCGGGTCGGTTGCGGGCGGGCGCGCACGGTTGCTCCGGAGGGGATTCCCGACCAGCCCAGGGAGGAAAAAGAGCGAGGATGCTGCGCGTGCGGTGCCTGCGCGGAGGTAGTCGAGGGGCCGAAGCCGTGCATTACATTGGATCGAGGGTAAGCGCCCCTGCAAGCCGGCGGGGAGAGCAGCCCCCTCTGGCTCCGTTCCCACAACCCGCTGAACCCGGCGGCCGAAGGAAACCGGCGCTTTGTGAATTGGCGCAGCTCCTTGATTCTCGGGGAGACGCAGGGAGCCCCCCAGCCGAAGTTGAAGCTAAGCCCAGCTCAGCATGCGGTTTGAATTCAGAGCGTTGCTGGGGCTTGTCCAGACCTGATTCGGCGCGTTGTGGGCCAACAAACCAGATTTGGGATAGTCTGAGAAAGCCTGGAGGGGCGCAGCGAGGATCGGAGCCAAGAGCGTTTTGCTATTCAGGCGAGGGGGCTGGGGCGGGGTGGTGGTTTAGCGATCCTAGGTAGCGATCCGAGCAATGCCAGGCGTTGCTCTAAGGGTGCGCCGCGGAAACATCTTCCACGCGCAAAGGGCAGGTGATGAACGCAGGGAGTTGCGTTGGTGCGCTTTTGAGTGAGATCCTGTTTCCTATGGATTCCCCTGAAGTGGAGCTGGGAGTTTAAAATCGAACATAAAAAACAAACAAACCTCAGAGCAAACTTTCAAAGCTTGCCTTTCAGGGGTTTCTCTGCATTGAAGGTCAATTTTGATCCAATCCATTTAATCCGTTTGGAAATTTGGAAGGAAAAATTCAAAGAGGGATTTTCATTTTTGTTTGTAAAAAGGTGACGCTTTTTGCCAATCTTTAGATTAGATTAACAGAGTTGGAAAGGACTTTGTAGGTATAATCCTACCCCCAAAAAAGCAGGGCCAAATTTAAACGCCCTTGAAATTCCCACCTTCCCTCTTTCTCTCCAAAGAGCTTCGTGCCTTTGACCCCTTTTGATTAATTTTGATTAAATCCTTCATTCCATTCACACAAGGGAAAAAGTTGTGAAAATGAACTATAACTAAGCCCCCTCTTGAACTAGTAATTCTTCATTTACATCGGATTAGATCTGTTCCATAGAGAGTCTGGCCTAAAGTTTAATAAAAGTTTTGATTTCGACTTGTTCCTTGGGAAGAAATATTCTGCTCACCTTCCCTCCAGCCCAGAAGTCCAGAGTCTAAATTGACACATGTCATTTGTCCTGGGCAAATTTGGGGATAGTGAGTGTTTCTGTGCCAAAGTTTAATCTCAAGATGGAGGTGTCAACAGACCCATTCTTTTTTTAACATTTTAAAAAAAAATTTATAAGTACAAACAATTATCTTCCATTTAACGGTATGTCATCTGGGTACAGATACCTTGTGTGACAATAATCAAAATTACTACCATATTCATTACATTGATATTAGTTCTCAATTCTTATTTTGTTATTAATATACATAATATCTCTTACACTATAACAATAACATGTTTAGATCTTTGCTTATTATTAGTAGATATAATATATCTATCATAACAATCCTTTTCTTACCATGTTTAATTCTATTAAGATGTTTTCCTTATTTCACTACTCTATTAGATGTTTCTAGTTTTCATGTTTTTGCTCTAACCATCGATAAAATAGTTCCCATATCTTATAATATTCAGATTGCTCCTTGTCTTTAATTGCCAGTGTTAATCTATTCATTTCTGCACATCCTAATATTTTCCTAATCATATTTTCATCAATAGGAATATCTTCACTTTTCCAGTTTTGAGCAAATACAATTCTGGCTGCAGTTACTACCTGAATAATTAAGTATATATTCTCTTTACTATAAGTTTCAGGTAACTATTATTTATATGCTCTGCGAGCAAACAGAGAGAGATTTTGGTGTAGTGGTTAAGGTAGCAGGCTAGGAACCAGGAGACTGTGAATTCTAGTTCCATTTTAGGTATGAAGCCAACTGGAGGGAGGCCCATTCCTTCCCTCCAGGCCTTGGGAAGGAGGCAATGGCAAACAATTTCTGAAATCTTGCCAAGAAAACCTATCTTGACAGTGTCCAGGAATCAACACGCAGTTGTGGATTTATGCACCCACAGAGAAGGAGACACTGGGCATTTGAAAAACCCTCTGCTTGAAATGGCATTCAGAAATATGAGCCAGCAGTGTGCAGCAGCAGCCACAAAAGCTAAAAAAAGATGTTGAGGCTCTAGAAAAAGTGCAGAGAAGAGCAACCAGGTTGATTAGGGGACTGGAGACCAAAACGTATGAAGAACGGTTGCAGGAACTGGGCCTGGCTAGTCTAGTGAAGAGAAGGACCAGGGGAGACAGGAGAGCAGTCTTCCAGTATTTGAGGGGCTGCCATAGAAAGGAAGGGGTCAAGCTATTTTCCAAAGCACCCGAAGGCCAGACAAGGAACAATGGATGGAAACTGATCAAGGAGAGATTCAACCTGGAAAGAAGAAGAAACTTTAATAGTGAGAACAATCAACCAATGGAACAGAAGTTGCCTTCAGAAGTTGTGGGAGCTTCATCACTGGAGGCTTTCAAAGAGAGATTGGACTGCCACTTGTCAGAAATGGAGTAGGGTCTCCCGCTTGGGCAGGGGGTTGGACTAGATGACCTACAAGGTCCCTTCCAACTCTGATTGTCTGTATCTGATATTTCAGAATTGAGGAGACAAATCTAGTTCATTGTCATCACTTCATTCTGCAAGTTCAGCAGTGCAAGAAAAAAATGGACAAGGAAATTTCTGCTTTGGGAAGAGCCCATAGAGGTTTTTCAAGCGAAGGAGAAACCAAGTTCATTGCTCAGGCAGGAAGATAGGAGTGGAAAGACAGGACAAAACAGCATCACTCCGTCTCCCCATTTCCTTTCTTGTCTTGGCATGGAATTCTTCATTCCTAGAGAGTTTCTGAGCTGGATAAAACGTGCTGAACTTTGATAGACGGTTAATCAGCTAAATGTATAACCGCCAGCGGCGATTCCTGTGTACTGCAAAATGGTGACTTTGCAGGAAGAGACATGCGCATAGTCTAGGGTAGCCAAACATCGGAAGTCTGGAAGCATGTGGGAAAAAAACATTGATTTTATTAAAAGGAACAAGATTTCCTGAAATGCAGCTCCAACCGTAGGATTCAGTGGGGATGCATGGAAGAAGATGGGAGGGAAGACAGAATCGGGGAGTGAGTAAGACCAATAATGGCACTTTCCCTACGTCTCGCCAATCCTCGTACTTACAATAGTTGCAGTGTTTCCATGGTCCAGTTACCAAAATTTGAGCACTTGGCAACCAGCATGAACTTACAACAACTGCAGTATCCTGGGAGTCACATTCGTTTTCACACGAGTTTTCATATGTAATTGAATGCCTCGTATGAAACGTTTTGTTCACCACACTGTAAAAAAGCTGTTGAGACTCTAGAAAAAGTGCAGAGAAGAGCAACCAGGATGATGAGGGGACTGGAGACTAAAACATATGAAGAACGGTTACAGGAACTGGGCTTGGCTAGTCTAGTGAAGAGAAAGACCAGGGGAGACATGATAGCGATCTTCCAATATTTGAGGGGCTGCCACAGAGAGGAGGAAGGGGTCAAGCTATTTTCTAAAGCATCTATAGGCCAGACAAGGAATAATGGATGGAAACTGAACAAGGAGAGATTCTACCTGGAAATAAGGAGAAACTTTCTAACAGTGAGAACAATCAACCCATGGAACAGAAGTTGCCCTCAGAAGTTGTGGGAGCTTCATCACTTGAGACTTTCAAGAAGAGATTGGAGTGCCACTTGTCAGAAATGGTGTAGGGTCTCCTGCTTGGGTGGGGGGTTTGACTAAATGACCTATAAGGTCCCTTCCAACTCTGATTATCTGTTATCCAGGCATGGACCATTCTGTTGCTGAAGTCGTATTTTCTGCCATCGAGTTTGGAGGTTTACTTTGAGTTTGTATCTATTGTTTGCCCGTGTGTTATTGCGGTTGAAGCTGAAGTAGTCGTTGACAGGTAGGACGTTGTAGAGCAGGGGTCTCCAACCGTAGCAACCTTAAGCCTGGAGGACTTCAATTCCCAGAATTCCCCAGCCAGCTTTGCTGGCTGGGGAATTCTGGAAGTTGAAGTCCACCAGGCTTAAAGTTGCCAAGGTTGGAGACCGCTGTTGTAGAAGATAATTTTGTGTACTAAGCTTAGATCAGACTGTAGGAAGTCCTAGGTTGTCCAGGTCCAGAATTTCAAACCTGATAGCATAAGATCTTTTTAATCTTCTCTTTCCATCCTCCAACATGCCTTCTCTGGGGGGCGGGCAGCTCTTCCCTCCCTCTCCAACCTTCTACTGACCCAGCACACATGCCTACCTCCCATTTTGGGCTGGGAATGCTGATCATTTACACTCTGCAAGAAGATAGGACATACTTGCTCCTAGGCAGCATGTTGGTCTAGTTTTTCCCAACAGCTGGTAGGGAACAAGTGCAGCCTCTTCTACTAAGGGGTTTGGTTTGAGTAGAAGAACTTAGCTAAAAGTTGAAGCTCCCTTTCTTGCAACGTTGGAAAGTTGGAAAGGGTGGGGGAAAGCCAGTGATCTTCCAACACGGATGGATCCTGGGTTGATGTAGACACTTAGGCTGGCTGATTCAACACCAGGCTTTCAGTTGGTCTTTGTGACCTCATTCCCAGGCTCTGCTATAAGCTATGGTTTGTTTAAGTAACGTTGCATAATTCTACTGTTAAAGGATGGGTATGTGTGGCACATTGAGCATAAACTGTGATTCACAAAGCATAACGTGCTTTGCACTGCCCTGGGTGAGATTGACAGCTATGTACATTTGATTCCCAAATAACAGATGGGCTCAAGACATATGTGAAGTTTCCCTTGCTTGTTACGGCAGGTCTCAAATGATCCTAATTTCTCTTGTCTGTATACTTTGCAAAGGAAATAAGCATAAAAATGAGCAAACCAGGGTCTATCGTCTGCGTCTCAATTGAATCACTTTCCTTTGCAACACACAAAATAGAAACTTCTCTTCTTGGGGAACTGGTCAGCCAGCCATTATGGAGGTATTTATCCAATCCCATACTTCCTAACTCAACCTGGGATTGGAACTTGAAGCACCAAGTCAGTCTCTAGTGGTTAAAACTAGATGTGGTCCAGAAGTGTTTTGGTAACCAATGCATCCATTTCAACTTAGGTATCACACTGCTCGGGCTATTTTTTCTCTGAAAGCAAGGTGGTACGTATTGGATTAGCTGCAGCTTCTAAGTATTCAAGGGCAGTCCTGTGTAAAACTCAATGCAGTAGTCTAACTCACGTTATAGCTTAGTGTGGTAAGATGCAAGAAGCTTTCTTTTATGTTAATATGTAGAGTCTGAAAGCAGGGCGAATCCTTCTTAGAATTAAAATTGGATATCGTTTATAAGTACCAGCCAGAGAAAAACCATATCTGATAGGATGCACTGAATTAATTAATCACATCTATAATCTGTAGCGGTATATAAGTCTAAAAGTGCTATTGCTATTCCCAGATTTCTCAGCAATGGCTCTGCTGGCTGCAGAATTGCTGGGAGCTGAAATCAATTCTTAAACGGTGAAGTTGAGAAACATTGCATGCTTTACTTTAAATACTACTTGATTGAAATAAATCTTCATAATTGAAAGAAACAACCCTTACCTTGCTTGGGTTACAAATAAAAGTGAAAGAAAAAATTCAAGATGGCCTTCTGGATCCTGAATATCTCATTGTGTCAACTCGTAAAACATTCCTATGCCTGTTTTCGAGTTGCCATAAGCAAGGGGTGGGGATGAAATCCAGAAGTACACTCCACACATATCTTACAAAGATTGCAGCTAGGCTACCGGATCCTCTGCCCATGAAAATCCTTCATTGGAGAATGTGATTGATGACGCCCAGCCCATGAAGGTGCTTTGTTGGAGAATCTGATTGATGACACACCCGGGGGGAGTGGAGAAACAAGGTCATAGGTGATCATTAATCACGTGCGTCAGAGTTGGATTCAACGGGGATAATGCCAGACATGTTGCTCCTAATAAATCCTTTGGATTCTTTTGAAGCTTGGCTCGAGGTTCATGATTTAATTAGGGCAATCGCCGGAACCCTGACACCTTGTTTCCTTAGCCTAGAACCCAAAACCTTATGACAGGCCCCGTCTAGTCACACCCCTGGGATTTCCCCCCTTCTGATGGTTGTTTTTGCTTTTAAATTCAAGTTTGGAAGAGTCGTCACAGGATGGGTGCAGCGAACTTTCCAGAGCACCCAGGCTGCAGCGGCCTCCAATTCTCCCTGTCCTGCTGCTGCTGCTGCTGCTGAAGCCTCCAAGGTTCCTGATCCTAGTCCAGAAAATTGTCCTGTCTGCTCCCACAATGAATGGGACCCACTGGAAGAAGTCATTGTGGGGAGAGCCGAAAATGCCCGTGTTCCTCCTTTTACAGTTGAAGTCAAGGTGAGTTTTTACTCCCTGAAATTCAAGGAACTTTGAATGTGATAAGGCTGCTTTTTATATCTCCAAATACTGAGGAAGAACAGCCTTATAGTATGTTGGCTTTCTCCTTCTCCTTCTTCTCCTTCCTCTTCCCCTTCCCCTCCTCCTTCTCCTCCTTCTCCTCCTCCTCCTCCTCCTCCTCCTTCTTCCTCCTCTCCTCCTCCTCCTCCCCCCCTTCTCCTTTTTAATTTATGCCCACTTTGGTAAAAGAGCCCAAGACACGGTCCATACTACTCTTTCCTCTTTGTGAAGTTTTTCTGTTTATTTATATCCTGCCTTGATTATTTTTTTTCAAACAACTTAAGGCAGTAAACATGCAACACATTTTCCTTCTATTTTCCCCACAACAACAACAACCCTATGAGATGAGTTGGGAGAGGGACTGACCCAAAAACACCCAGTTGGCTTTCATGGCTAAGGCAGGACTAGAACTCCCCATCTCCTGTTAAATGGCCCAGTATCACCCAGCCAGCTTTCGTGGCCAAGGACCTTGGAGGCCTTCTAGTTTAACCTCCAGCTCAAGTTGGAGAGCTTATACCATGCTGGAAAAATCCCAAAGGTGCTTTTTCAAGAGACAGCTGGACTCTCTTTGTCCTTGAAAATGTTTTGCTTCTCATCCAAGAAGCGTCTTCAGGTCTTCAGGTCTTTACTTCTTCAGAACTGAAGAAGCTTCTTGGATGAGAAGCGAAACGTCTTCAAGGAAAAACAAAAAAAAGCCCAGTTGCCTTTTGCAAAGCACCTTACAGATAGCTATAGATATTGATTAGAATGACAGATGATAGATATATAGGATAGATAGATATAGATAGGATAGATAGATACATGATAGACAAATACAGATAGACAGAGCTATAGATGTTATAAATTAGAGACAAGATATATAGATAGATATAGATAGATGATTAACAGATAGATATTGATTAGAGATGATGATGATGATGATGGATAGATAGATAAATAGATAGACAGATAGATAGATAGATATAGATCAGGGGTCTTCAAACTTGACAGCTTTAAGACTTGTGGACTTCAACTCCCAGAATTCCTTCTCCAGTCACGTTAGCTCAGGAATTCTGGGAGTTGAAGTCCACAAGTCTTAAACTTGCCAAGTTTGAAAACCCTTGCTTTAGACTCCCATATGAGTTTCCACAGTGGGAATCTTATTCATTAATATATTTTTTTTGCAGCAAAAGCAATTATTGTGCTTTAAAACAACAGAAGGGTGATTGCCTGGGCTTTCATGGATCCAAGTCCACCCAGGGCTATGGATTGTGGAAGCTGAACTCATCACATTTTGCAAGCACGGCCAACCCAAACCCTGCTGGATGCAGCGATGGTCTCAGATGACAATTAGAAGAGCCGAAAACAAATGAATGAAAACACAACTTGAAAGTTGCTGAGCTGGCTGTTTGGGGTCCAGTCCACATGACACCAACTTATCTCAGAAGCTTTACGACTATTACTTGTTGCTGGAAAAAAATCTCTCCTGGCCCTTGAACCGTACATGTGATTAAAACTGCTACTGCAGTCATTCCAGCGGCACAAAACTCACAGCCTGAGGGTCAACAACAACTGGGGCATGGAGTTGAGACCTGTGGGAGGGGTCTACAGGAGCAGGAACAGTCTGTTCTCTAGTCTTTATCACGGTTTCTAGGAAAGTCTTTTCTCCTGTGTACCTTCTTGTAGCCTGCCCAACAGTGATCCCTCTCTCAAACCACCTGGTCGAGGGATCGCCTGCCTTGCTCTGTCTGGGTGAAATCGAACAGAATTAGTTAACAGAATTAGTTGTGATGCTTGAAGAAGCACTTCTGCCCTGTATTAGTGGGGATGGAGGGATTCGCCTTGTTGCAGTTGTGGTGCCGATATGCTAACTATTAAACATACCGTGCAAGACTGCCTACATTCTTTGGCCCAGTGGTAGGATTCAAATATTTTTTACTACCAGTTTTTTTTTTTACTACCGGGCATGGCTTGGGGATGTGGCTTGGTGGGTGTGGCAGGGGAAAGCTACTGCAAAATCCCCATTCCTTCCCCACCCTACTACTAACCTGCTTTCCAGCTCCATTCTCCTGTGCAGGGCAACCAAAGAAGACCCAGCCGATCAGCTGGGACTCGATAGGAGGCGGAGAATAGATGGGGTTGGCGGGGCCAGTCAGAGGTGGGATTTGCCGGTTCTCCGAACTACTCAAAATTTCCGCTACTGGTTCTCCAGAACTGGTCAGAACCTGCTGAAAACCTCCTCTGCTTTGGCCCCCTAGATAGAAGATCAGCATGAACCAACCCCAGAAGCAGTTGCCTAGATAGCTGAATTGGACCTCCAGTTATGAGGCCACTGTCGTACCCCTGTGGAAGTTTTGTATATAATTATGCGGATTGTGTGCATATGTTTACTTCTCTTCCATCATGTTCTAGTCATGTGCTAAATAAATAAAATAAACAGCCATGTAGATGATATACTTGGGGAAGGATGCACTGGGCTTAGAATTTTGAGGCTTTTACCCCAATGTTCCAAATATACTATAATAGCAATAGCTATTACATCATTTAGCACTGAGACTTCTATACTGCTTCACAGTGCTTTACAGCCCTCTCTAAGCGGTTTACAGAGTCAGCCTCTTGCCCCCAACAATCTTGGTCCTCCTTTTACCCACCTCGGAAGGATGGAAGGCTGAGTCAACCTTGAGCCTGGTGAGATTTGAACTGCCAAACTGCAGTCATCCGGTAGTCAGCAGAAGTAGATTGCAGTGCTGTATTCTAACCACTGTGCCACTGTGGTCAGGATATTATGCAATTTAGAATAGGGACCGCTTGTACCATGGGCCTAACAATCCCAAAATGAAGACAGGAGAAGAGATCCCTCCAGTATGGAACTTTTAACCCGGAAGGCATTTCTTCCATTTAATCCCGTTGGGATGGGCCCTGCCTGGACTCACAGCTGAAATATGCAAAATTGTTCTTTCCTTCTCTTGATGCCTCTTTTCATCCTCTTAATTGTTTTTCAATGACATGCCTTGGAGTTTGAAAATGCACAGATGAATTTCAATAGAAGATAATATTTGTAGCTCAGGATTGAACTTCGATCCTCGGTGTTCTCTGAGCTTGGTTGTTTTCTTGCAGACATTTTATTACCCAGCTAGGTAACATCATCAAGGCAAAACCCACTCCTGCTTAGCATGGATGATGTTACCTCGTTGGTTTTTTTCTTCTTCTTCTGTCTTCTCATGTTTAGGTCTTCAGGCTAATCTGACACTTTTACCTGGTTTATACAGAGGGCAAGCTCTCAGCATAATGGTGCTAATTTGGGCTTCACATGTTGGATGAACTTGATAATTGTGCTATCTCAACCATAGCTACCAGTTTAATGAGCCACGGTGGCGCAGTGGTTAGAGTGCAGTACTGCAGGCTATTTCTGCTGCCTGCCTCTGCCTGCAATTTGGCAGTTCAAATCTCACCAGGCTCAAGGTTGGCTCAGCCTTCCATCCTTCCAAGGTTGGTAAAATGAGGAGCCAAATTTCTGGGGACAAGAGGCTGACTCTGTAAAACGCTAAGAGAGGTCTGTAAAACACTGTGAAGCGGTATATAAGTCTAAGTGCTATTGCTATTACTATTAATGTTTGTGATCCCAGTCATGATTTACTCAACAAACCACAACAAAGTGTGATATGGAATTTCCCCTTCTTAGGGGTGTCAGTGATTCCTCTCTGCAAGAAGACGCGTCCTTTTCTTCATCTGTTGGAAAAAACATTTGTGCAATTGTCTGTAAATGGTTTGTTTCAGACCGAGTTTGTTTTCTTTTTTGTTGATTCCCCAGGCTAATACCTATGATAAGTACTGGGAATTTTATCAGAAGTACGGAGGCCAGAGTTTTCCTGAGGATTATATCAAGAAAGCAATTGCTGAGATTGAAGAAATGTGCACTATTTTGAAGATGGAAGGAGTGACTGTGAAGAGGCCAGAA